TGTATAGAGCTGCAAAAATTTGTCGATTAGTTGGTCGAAAGAAAATTAATCGACAACTATTTTGATAATTGATTAATCATTTCAGGCATTTTTTAAGCAAAAATCTGAAAAATTAGCTGTTTCATCTTCTTAAATTGAGGAATTGCTGCTATTCTTTGTAATTTCTGACAGTAAATGAAGAGTCTTTGGGTTTTGGACTGTTAGTTGGACCAAAAAAAGCAATCTGAAGACGTCCCTTTGGGCTCTGGAAAATTGTGATGAGCATTTTTCACAATTTCTGACATTTTATAGACAAAACAATGAGTCAATTAATCGTGAAAATAGTTGGCGGATTTGTCGATAATGAAAATAATAGTTGCAGCACTAATTATATATAATGACATCTATATAATTTAGATGTAGGAAGAATCACAGGCAAATACCGTAAAACTTAAATTAAAACCCATTATGTCCAAATTAAGTCCCAGTTGGACACGCGTCCCTGTTACTGGCTTGGTGAGGCCGCAGGTTTGGACAAATAAACGTCTCAATTAGAAGCCTAGTCTGGTTTTTATAGAAGTTTGTTTGTCCTGAAATTGTCCTCTTGAGCTGAGCTGCTTAAATAACCAATATAAATATTTTGTCAGTATGTTAAACACTGTCAGTTAATTTTACAGAACGAGTTTGGCCTTGAGGTCAGCCTTGATGTGCTGTCTCTCAGAGCAACATCAAATGATTCATTATTTATGTTATGATTAATTTTTATACTACTAATATTCATATTGTTAAAATAAAAACAGGCTCAGTGAGTTAAGAGATTGAATCCAGTTAAGGCCCGGGCTATTACTTTACGGTGTATGCATTTTATTTTAATCCCATCTGAATGAGGCTGTATAATTCTACGTGTTTTTAAATTTTCACCAAAAGCTTTACTTTTCCTTCATGTGCTGATCTTACGGATATTAAATAAAACATCATTTGTATAAATAAAATACATTTCTGGCTACAGCAGCAGGTAAACTTGTTTCCTAAAATTTTCTACATGCTTTTTTTCGTCAAAAAACACAATCTGAGCTTAAAAACTGGCACAGTGAACTCAGTCGACACAAATAATCTCTCCTCGGAATGATTCAGCTCCAACAAAGACCTTTCTAAGTTTAAAAAAGTGCTCTTTTACTTAAGTAGAGGTACACACTACTGTTTGGTGCTAGAAACATACAAATACAGACATTTGAAATTGACCTGTAAAGGGATATGTAGGTAAATAAAGCTGACTGAATTATTATTTTTTCTCATGCTACATTTTTTTTTGGACAAACACGTGATAAGATAATATTCAGTATTAAGCAGGACTGCAGATGAGTCATTTTATTAATAACACTAAACAATCAAAGTTTATCTGCTACCGTTATCTCTGTCTTCATAAGTAACCCAGCGAGTGCAAAATATTCTGTAAATCCTTTACGGAAACATAAGGCAAAGAATTTTAGAGCTATTGTAGACTACTGAATAATTATTCAAAGTAAAATAAATAAATAGGAACACTTTTTGGTTCAGTTCATTGGGAAATAAAACAGCTCTAAGTAATTCATGTTGGGTCAATAAGATAATCTAGTGAACACCTGACGGAGCCAGAGGTCTGATTTTCATTCATAAACATAAATTGTATTGATTACTTCATCATCGATTTAAAGCTGCATTAACTGATATTCATGACGTCTCAGAACGTGCGGGCGCATCAACTCAGTGTTTCTGTTAATATCTCGGCGATAATGCAGCACATTAATATGGTTCGGATATTTAGTTGACAGATTCTCGAGGTCAGAGTTCTTATTCTTGCAGTGAGCTAGGAGGAAGAGAAGACGTCCTCTCACATTGTCTAACTGGTCTGTCTGTCTGTCTGCATTTTGTGTGAAGCTTTCTGAAAGAATTTCAAAAACCTGACTTAAATTTTTTTGCTTTCCAGTCTCTCTCTCTCTTTACACAATGCTCTGGGACACATGGTGAGCAGGTTATACAGACAGCTGGGGGTTTTCTGCACATTTTGATATAAATATATATAATAATATATAAATTCAAGGTAAAATTGAAAAAAATGCCCATAGACCTCAGAGAGTTAAACAGCCTGTAATACTGCCGATCCCACTGAGGATCAACAGCTGAGTCCGAGCAAAACCAAACCTGAGTCAATATTGGACTTTCATACATCAGGTGGACACAAACACGACACCTTTGTTAGCTCATATTTAAAAGGCCATTTTGCTGTAAGTTTTTTTGTTTGTTTGTCTGCAGCATCTTCACCGTTTGGTTTTTAGAAGTCCAAAGTTTCTGTAGAAAATAAAATGGGTTTTGCTACACTGACTTATGTTCCACTTTGAACTGCTTACCAAACAATGGACACTGTGGATCTGGGCATTTATTCATTTGTATTTTGAATATTAAAGAAAGTTGGTTTGTTACTATAACTCAGAAGGAAAATCTTGGATTAATAAAGATAAAGATTTACAGCATTAACATTTTGTACTTTCATGTTTTTAGCATCTGGATGGGCTCAAGCTGATCCGCCGCTCTTTGTTTTTATCTCTTCGTTGTCTATCAGTGAAGTCATTTTGTGATTTACTACTACAGGACTTTACTGTAAACAGTGTAGGAAAATAAACAAGTACATTTATTCAAGTACGGCACTTAAACTAAATCTGAACTTTTCTATTCCACTTTATACTATTATTCTACTCCATTTTCCAGGGAAATATCATACCACTTACTTCACCACATTTAGCAATTTAAGTTACTTTGCAAGATACACAAAAACACATGTCAACAAATAAAATATGACCTTTCTTTTTTTTTTTTACACTAAAGTACATTTAAATAGTCAAAATCAGGTCCACTTTAACTGGCAACATGAAATGTTGCATTACTGCAAAATATTTTATAGTATTATGACACTATGGCTATTCTTAATTTTGAGAACTTTGACATTTTAAGTAGTTTTTACACTGTGGTAATCCTGCTTTTATGTAAGTAAAGAGTACTTCTTCCACTGAGCTGAGCAGGTAACAATCATCCACCTCTGGTTGCTTCTGAAAACAATGGAATCTTAAATCTAAAATAATGCAAAATGACAACTTCCCGTCACACTCCTGGATCATGATGGTGGATATTTGGAAACCTCACCGCCGATCGATAAATCAACCAACTGATCCACGGTGCGATGACGACCTGCAGGAAGAGTTACGAGTCTTTATGGAGGACGTCGTTTATCAAAACGTGCTCACTGACGTCTGAGGCATTCGGGTGAAAACGTCTCGGCGGCGCTGTCCCGCTAAACAGAGCGATGCAACAAGCAGACATCAGGACAGCAACATGTATGAGGGCAGAGCTGGATGGGTGACGGCAATCCCACAATCCCAGACTTCCCAGTGAGGTCACTTCCTGTGGAGACCTCAGGTCCTGGTGAAGCTGGGGACGACCAGAACTACAATGGCCGCCACTGCAACCGCTGCCACCGCCAGGTTCCAGCCTCCAGTGTCACTCTGCTGAGAAAGAGATGAAGACATGTGAGTGGAGTTACTGCCAGTCACGTTTAAAGACAAAGAAAACAACTGGACGATTAAAAACGAAGGTTTAAAGCTATTTCTAGAAAATAGCTTTAAACCTTCGTTGTTAATCGTCCAGTGTTTAAAAATTATAATTTTCACAAACTGAGCTTTTTCACAACTCTGGCACGGACACCAAGCTGTGCTGAAACAACAGCGCTGCAGTTAAACTGCATTCTCTCTAGCAGCCAGCAGGGGGCGACTCCAGCGGCTGCAGAAAAAAACAGCGCCGCTGAAAAAGCTAATCAGGAGTCGGCTGCTCATTTTTCAGTAAGTATGTTTAGTATTAAGCCCGTTTGTCGCTAGCCAAAATTAGCATCCCAGCTAATATCACAGTTAATGTGAATTACAGATGCAGCTTGCTAACAAGCTAGCTAGCTCCACCCTCTCATCCAAATTGGTCACGTCTGGTTCCAAAAAAAAACAAGATGGCGACGACCGAGCTGCCAAACTGCAGGCTTCAAATCTTTAGTTCATAAACGAGTGATTATCTAAAATAATATGAGAATAAATGTGAAAAATTCAGACTTATATTTGTCTGTTGAAACTACGACCATGTATAACACTTCTAAAATACGTAATATGTGCAAACTAACTGAGCCAAAACCGCAACATAGTAGTCTTGTATTTATGACTTATGATGGCCAACATTTGTATTAAATATCATAATTATGACTTAGTAAGTTAAAATGATGAAGTCAGAGCGTACTGACAAAGAAAACAAGTTTTTAACCATTGATGTATGATAATCAAAAATATAAAGCAAATCAAGTAGAAAATAAAAACTTATTCCGTGAAAACAAAGTGAAATTGTCATATAATAGTCTATATTAAAACTGAACTACACTGAATTACATTAATTTAATTATTTGGAAAATCAAACTAAGCGTCTCTGTATTAAACTGTTAAAAGAACATATTTATTATTTTAAAATGCTGACTTCTCATAGTATTGGTGGTGTGAAAAACAGCTATTCCAGCATGCTGAGGTATAATTATAAAATGATAATAGAAATATTCTAGTTCAGAATGATAAAAAAATCAAAGATTATGACAGATTCTATATCAAAACTATAACTAAACATAAAATAACTACAGATATTATTTATAGTCAGAGCCTAGTATCTCATCATGAGACAAAACAAATAATTTACTGTATTATGAAAAACAAATGAATATGTAAAATATTCAGATCGCTTTTATCAGAAATTGTAACCCAAAAACACGGTCTTATTATTGAAGGACAATTCAATAATGAACATAATATGTGACACTGAGTGAAATCTGTCTCTCATAAATATCACTCGTTAAGTCAAAATTATTCCTCATTATTATACGTGTGACAAACCGTGACTTTAGAAAGTGCTGAGGGATACTTTGGTTGCTGACGTGGAAAAAACAGCTTTTCAAAAACCTTCACAAGATCATCTAAAACAAATAGCAGATAATATTTAACAATATCAGAACAATAAAATAAGAATTATCACGTAAGATAGTTTGTCAAAACACTGAATTAGAATCTAAAATACATTCAAAATTTTGACTTCTGACCTAATATCTCATAATTAACACGAGTCAACGGTATCTTGTAAAGATGACTCCAAGTAAAACTCTTTCTGTTTCTGTGTCCCAGTCCGCTCTGTGCTGTGGTGTTTTCCTCCTGAATCGTCTGCTCCACCTTTAATCTTAATCACAAGACATCATTACATATTCCTCCTCTGTTTAATTCTGTTTTCCAGCAGGATTGAGCCTCCTCACTGTTGGAGGGGTGTCATGTGAGAGAGATTTGATCAGTAATGTCATCATGTTGGAAAGAACCTGCTCAGCTTCTGCACCACATTCACACACTCTCACCACAAAAACCTCATGACCGACTCACACACTCCTCAAACCACCCATCAGGCAAACGCCGTCTAAACGTAACGCATCTAACATTGCTGCTGTCAGCTGACCTCAGCTCGGTGTTTGGAGGCAGAACGCACTCAGACACAAAATCACAGTGAGCTACAACTAGTTTGGTCCAGTAGAAGCTCTTTATAGGACTGTTTTTAAGAGCAGGCATCAAATGGACGAGCAAGAGGAAGCCCCTGCTGCTGTTGAGGCAACCATTTCATCTGTTTGAGTACTTCTGTACGATCAAACAGATGTTGTACTCTGTAAAGGCTGGGTTTTTTTGTTTTTTGATGCAAGTAATGCTTGTAACTGTAAAGTAATTTGGAGTTTTTTACAGAATCGTCCAATATCTCCGTTCTGTGAATCACAGCAGAGAGAAACACTTGGCCGGACCACACCGATGATAGACGTCGAGTACAGGTAGCTCTAATGTCCCCCCAGTGATTCAGCCACTCAGATTCTAAACAGCAGAGCGTCTGGTAGAGAAAGAGGGCGTGGCCATACCTGGTCCCCTCTAGGACGCCAGCTCCTCCCACCAGCACCAAATCAAGGCCACTATTACAATCATTCCTATGAAGGGGATGGAGAGAACAGGGGGCTCAGACGGACGAGTGCAGTTCTGGGGAGAAGACAAAAGGCAGGAGTGTAGGGAGGCACGGGAGAGGGGGCGTGGTCAGAGGAAATAAAACCAATCAGAACAATAAAGTCCAGAACGTGTCGGGAAGAAAGGCGAGCGAGGAGCAAACGGAAAAACAGATAAAACAATGGAGGAGAAACAGGCTGAGCATCAGAATCCATCAAATTTACACAGAATTTGATTCAGTTCGTTGTATAAAGTTCATGTGAAACAAAAGGCGACATCAGGAATAAACAGGACGATGAGAGGAAGGAAACAGAAAGGCAGGCAATCAGAGATGGTTAAAGACAAGATGGAGAGCTTTGCCTTTTAAAGATCTCTGCCGACACTCTGAGGCGCTGCCTTCACCGTCTGCAGATCTGCAGAGTGGGTTAAAGGGTTAAACCAGGAGGGAAACTAGATGACACGGTGGGACCACATGGGCTGGATGTGAGACTCAGGTCTTCTGTCAAGCTGCAAGTCCAGTCCCCATCATCACAGGCGAGTCTTAAGTCGAATCTCATGAAGGCAAATCCAGTCCCAAAACAAGTAAAGTCCTTAGTCCCAAGTCCTTAGTGAAGCTATACAGCAAGTCCCACAAGACCTGTCACGATAACTACTTCTGTTGGACGATATTTTCGGAATACTCGATAAACGATATCGTCATTTTAAGACTTTTTTATGCCACTTACTTGTCCGATGTATGGTCAGGCTCATGTATGGGGCCATATCTGGGCTTGACCACATATCTGTAGCAGCAGAGTAAAAGGACGTCTTTAATCTCCCTCAGAATTAAGTTTTTCACTTTGTTGTACAAAGCTGGAATGGCAGTTTGGGACATTTTCTTTGGCAATTTGTCCTGCCTGTCAAAAGTTTGCAGTTTATTTTAAATGCCGGTTTCTGGACCATGTTGGACGGCTGCGTCTCTTTGGCTTTGACCGTCAGCAAAACCGGTGACCGAGGTCATGTCCATATATCCTGCGATGAGTCGATATTGCAATTATCGGGACAGGCCAAAGTCCCACATCGAGACAGGCCATTCCCAAACCTCAAGTCAAATCCCAAACAAAGAAAGTCAATCCCAAGAGTCTGTGATTAGCAAGTCCCAAGCTGTCAGAGCTGTCAGTCCCATGTGGAGTCTCAGGCCGTGATACTCAAGTCACAAGTCTAGTGATCAAAAGTCAAGTCCCAATTCAGGTCTCGAACAGACAGGTCCTACATCTAGTCTCAAGACTGACACTAAAGTCCCATGTCCAGTTTCAAGCTTGTTTGTTTGTTTAGACCCTGATTAGCTGCTGTTTCACTCTTAAGTCAGTGTCAAGTCACAGCAGGCAAGTCTAGGGCCAAGTCTTGACACCCAGGTCTCAAGTCAAGTATTATAGCAAGACTCTCTGCTTTGGGTCACGAGTCAGTGGCTCCTTTCTGACGTTTGCCAGAAGAGTCCGTCTTCAGATTTGTGACTCCGGTCGACACCTCTGGAAAGTAGTGAGGTGGGACAAACTGAATCCAAATCTGTATGCAGGCATGCAAACTGCTCAGGGGTAAAAAAGGTGAGAAGGATACGCAAGCAGAGAAACACAGAGAGGCGGTGGAAGAGGGGTCTGTTTAAAGCTTACATGTTGTGTCTGCTGCAACAAGAGAAAGATACCGACACGAGAGGGCGTCACTTTGTGTTGAAAAGTAGTGCGGACACTCAGATTAGGGCTGTGACCGTACTCTGAGCTCACGTGGCGATGCACCATGCTGCTGTCACGAGAACGAGATGTGACGATACAACAACAGGATTTTATAGAAATCATCAAAGCTGAAATATACTGTATGAGTTGGGGGCTCTGGGGCTCCTCCCCAGAAAGTTTTGAGCATTAAAGATTTAATTTCCTGCATTCTGGTGACATTTCCTGCTCTGTCTTTCCTACATGTATTTATGATGGAAATGTTTTTATTTATGTAAAAGGAATCACTAAATTCAGGTGGCAGGTGAAAATTTAATATCTACAAATATAACAGAATCTAAGTCAGTGCAGCTCTCAGGCATTATGTGTTACACATCTGTTTCTCCTGCAGATCAACTTTTCATATGTAATATGTCCCTGCTGAGTCGTGATTTAGTCTTCGCTCCTCTTTTGTCATGTTCACAGGGAGAGAACAGAAAATCTGGCCAAATAGAAACTCTGACAAGAAGTTGTTAAAGTTACTGACTGCTGCTGCACGTTCTGGGGTCACTTCATAAGTAGCTTGTTTTATCTTACTTAAATGTAAAACGAACCTTTCTGAAAGCACTTTGATTTGTTCTATAACATTTTTAACGAACATTTTCAAAACGTGACGGGGACATGTCCCCAGCGTCCCCAGTGTAAATGACACAGACGCCAACATGTCTCATCCTGTTGACGTTTTATCCAGGTAGCTGCCACTGCTCTGAACAGTTAGCTTAGCGAACATTACTGGTTAATAACAGCGGGCAAAGTTATAAACTTAACAACATGGCTGTACCTGACAGGACCCCCCCCCCCCCAAAGTATTTTCTCATCTGATCTGCACAAATAACGTAGGTGCCCCATTTGGTTTCAAAACGGATTCAAATTCAAAACGAAAGGTGAGGAGTTTGCATGCCTGTGTATGTTAAGGGTTGTTCCACACATGATACGTTATCAGCCAATCAGATGGACCTTTACGGTCAGAACTCTTATCCTTTGACAATTGAACAAAGCTCCACTTTAGAGCCTTCCTGAATGCTGCACGGAGGAAGCGGTCAGCTGAGCAGGCGTAGAAAGAGACACATGACGAAACAAACTGCCCAGCAGCGACAGATGTTACGAAGAAGCTCACAACAAAACGCTCAAAAACCAGCAACACGACCAGAGCTGCAGCTGCTGCAAACCACAAAGCAACATGACAGACAGGGTTCGGCCAAGCTGGTATCGACCCACATGCACAACGTACAGACGGACAGACTTTTTCAGGTGTGTACTGCGTTGCACTTACCTTGATTACTTTACACATTTAACTTACGCTTTCAGCTTGAGAGAGATGTCAGACCATACTTACATTTCCTGTCTCAGTTTTAACCCTAAGCTGTATTCAGCTGATACCTGACGCCCTAATGACCAACCTGACCAAGAACGTTTTATGAGGACAGAGAGTTTCAACTGTTCTAAAGTCAGAAATCACATACAGGTGATTAGAACCCCCCCCCACTTTATATTTACCGTTGACCTTTGGCCTCTCACCTGTGACTTCCTGCCCATCAGTCTCTGGAGCTCGTCCTTGCAGCGTTGCAGCTCCTGCTCGAGCGCCGCTCGCTCCCGTTGGCTGCTGTCGTACAGCTGCTGCAGGTCCACCAGCTCGCCCTTCAAACCATCACACTGACAGAAAGACAAGTTCAAAGTTCCATTGTGCTTTTCAGAAACCCAACAATTCAAGTCAAGATAGACAAGTCCGAAGTCCAGTCTCAGCTCTCGACAGAAGTTCTAACTCAAGTACAGAGTCAGACCAAGCGAGTCTCAAGTGGGGTCGGGCGACATCGGGATGGACCCGCGCGGGGTGGGGGACGGGGGTGTAGTGGTCGTCTTATGTGCACATGCTCACTCGCAAAGACTTAACTCGGACGGTGGCATCGTCTATCGGCCCAGCCTCTCAAGTCAAGAAAGTATAATTCCAAGTTCCAAGTGGAGGAAAACATTTAAATCAACAAGGCCAACATATCGACAACTATTAGTTAACTGCAGATTGACCAGTATTATAGACCGGCAGGCTAGATGGCGTGCTACTGTGCCTGGTGGTGTTAGGCTAATGGTGCGTTCAATTTCACATCGGAAGTCGGAGTTTCCGAGTTCCAAGTCGGAAACGGGGATACGCCCACTTAAGATTCAGATTCCTATTCGGAAAGTCGGGAGAACATCACCGACCTCGACCTCAAAATCCAAGACGGCTGCTTCTGGAATCAACAGCGGAGAAAGCTGTATTAATTGAGCGTTTGTCGCACTCAGGTCTTATTTGTGTCTCATTAAAAACAGTCCAACTTATATCTGTAGACGTGTTGCTACGGTGATTGTATGTGCAGAATACTGCGTAATGCGCTGTTATCAGCTGGTTTTGGTAACGATGGCCATAGGCATCCATCTTGGTTTTCCGACTTAAATCTGTTCTACTGGAGCGCCGTCAGCACGGGGTGATGTCATTCCCAGCTCCGACCTCCGAGGTAAATGGATCGCCCCACTAGTACCAGTTAGCGAGTTAGCTAACTACCAGTTTGATCACTAACCAGACCAAAAGCTGTTTTTGTTCAGGAGACCCTGGACTCCTTCAGACTGACTGCAGACCACAATGCATCTCTTCCATTTTGTTTTGGTAAAGATGAATTTTTTACATGTAATTCAGAGTAAAGAAGACAAAGTTTTACTGCGAGCACAGCTGCTGATTAAAGCTGCCGTTGTGAGTTTGGTGAACTGCTGCTGCTGTTACCTCTCTCTGCACTTTGTGAGCCGCCTCCTCAGCCTGTCTCAGCTGGACCTGCAGGACGCTGACCTCTGAGCTGCAGACCTCCGGATCCTCCTGGGGGGGTCGGCCCCGGTGTTCAGGACCGGACTGAGACAGGGAGATGTACGAGTCGGCCTTCGCTCGGTCATCCTGTTCACCCTTTGTGTCGCCCTCCACTCGGACTGCCAGGTACACGTCCTCACACCTGTTCAGCAGGAGCGGTCGGCTGGTTAGAGGGCAGAACTGCATTTACAACGTTTACAGTTAACACAATGGCATTTTTAAAGGAGAGGGTAACATAAAAAACCTGTAGGCAGTGAGTGAACAGCATATTGATTGACAGCTGGCTGGACCACTCACGCGTCTCGCTGCTGCTGCAGTTGCTCCACTTTGCTGCCCAACTCTTTGTTGTCGCTGCTCAGAGTCTGACGTTCGTCTGTCAGAGAGGTGAACTCCTCCGTCACCTGACTCACGTCACCTGAACACAGACAGGTTTTATGACGATATATAATGATTTGATTTCTTTGCTTCTCCTGCCACACAGGTGAGAAACCTGCTACCTGTGTTCCACCATGTGACTCTATGCTTTAATATTTCAGGTTTGTTTGTGTCCCCAAAGATTTTAGCTCAGGGGCACAAACAAACACTTTGGGGCCCAGTTTAAAGAATAATGTTTTACATTACTTATTTACCAATAAACAGATATAACTGGCTCACTGGCTTAGCTAAGTGTGCTTTGACACCTGGATCGATTGGACCATCCGAAACAAGGGGGCGTGTCCTTTTTGGCTCGGTTCGTTTGGACATATGCGAACACGGCAATCGACAAAACGAACAAAACAACAGAGCCAAGATCGCCTGCAAGAGGGGGTCTGCAGAGAGAACACAACAAACCCGGGGGCGGGACAAACCAATGTGCTGACGTCACTCTCCTTGTGTGTGGCGTCTGGGAAAGATGCTGATCTGACCAAATGTCATCAGGCAGTTCAGACGCTGAACGGTGTCGATCTACAAAGACACAGAGCTGATACAGAGGGGAGCTTTAAAACTTCACACAGCAACCAGAAGCTTCATGCCAGCCGTTAATTTCTCCGTTAGTCCTTGTAGCCGGAGAAAGCGGCGCCCGGCGCTGACTAAATGTGATGAAGTCCTTCGTGGCTGACGTCCTGTAACGGACATATTAATGAGTCAAACAGAGAAGAGGAGTCTGAAAGAGAAGCAGCAGGGCTGCTGCTCACAGTGATTCACTTACAAACAAGTGATCGATCTCTTTAATCAGCAGCCAGAGACCGAAGACTGTAAATCTTCTCTCTGCTGCTCACTGATTTCCTGTCACAGCGACAGAAACAACAGGCTGTGAATTAAAATCCTCCAGGAGTCTGTTTGTCCCGCGCCGCTGAACTACGAGGACGGACAGAATCCTGTTCCACAGTCAATAAACACTTTGACTTGGAAACCTTATGTCTTCATCTGAGGAACTACTGAACTGTTAGAAGACCTAAACTGTTTCCTCCTCCTCCAGACCGAACGTCACCTGATGCGTCAACAAAGCCTGAAGAAGAGAGTCCTTCTGGTTCCGGTCCTGGACCGTGGCGGACCGCAGCAAACGCTCCAAAGTTTGGTTCAGCTTCACTAAAAAGCCGCACCAGCTGCAGTCAGGAGGTTTGGTGCGAGGGAGGAAGGCGAACCGTTTCCTTCAACACGGCGTGAATCTGAAGGAACGCTTCACTGCGTTCAACGTGTCGCGCTCTCCCAGATCCAGCTAACGCTAACAGCAGCAACGCCTCAGGTACAGAACGCAGGTGAGCCAACGTTCACCTTTTATACTGAAGGGAAACCAGCGATGTCTCCAGATGAGACCCAGAGACGCCGTCTAAGACAGAGACTCCTCTCACTTTAGAGACCTGAAGGGGATGAACATCCCCGAGCGCTGACAAGACAATCCGAGTAACGATAAACAACCCTACTCCTTCTTTCCTCCCCCCTTCCTACCTCCTTCTTCCCTTGTTCCTTCCTTTCTTTCTACTTCCTTTCATCTGTTCTGCCTCCTTTTGTTCTTCTCTCCTTTTGAGGAAGATGAAGAGGAGGAGGAAGATGAAGAACAGTACCCTTTCTTACTCGCTGCACTAGCTGAAACCTCTTCATGTGTTTTTGTTTTGTTTTTAATCATTTCTAAATATTAAAGGGGATCCGGGTCTGAGGCCGGGGTACCGGGTCTGTGCGAGTCCTGGTTCTGGCTCTTCATGCTGATCTCGGCCCTCAGCGTGGTGATCTCCAGCTCGTACTCCTGCGCCGTGGCGTGGAGGCGCTGCAGCTCGGCCCGCAGCCGACACAGCTCCTCCTGCAGGGAGGCGATGTCGTTCTCCCTCTCCGCCGCCGCCTCCTCGGCCGCCTGCTGCAGCATCAGCACCTCCTCCTGGGCCGAACGGAGCTCCTCCTGCACCTCCTCCAGCTCGCTCTCCTTCTCCTCCTCCAGACTGTCCATCTCCTCCTGGACCGACCGGAGCTGAGCTGGAAGAGGAAGAAGCAGAGTTCATAAAGGAGAAAGTGAAGATACCTTTAGGAAGAAAGAAAGCGTCAGACCCGAGGACCGGCTCAGAGAGAGAGGTGACGGAGTAGGAAGAAAGAAAGTGTCAGACCCGAGGACCGGCTCAGAGAGAGAGAGCTGACGGAGTAGGAAGAAAGAAAGTGTCAGACACGAGGACCGGCTCAGAGAGAGAGAGCTGACGGAGTAGGAAGAAAGAAAGTGTCAGACACGAGGACCGGCTCAGAGAGAGAGCTGACGGAGTAGGAAGAAAGAAAGTGTCAGACACGAGGACCGGCTCAGAGAGAGAGCTGACGGAGTAGGAAGAAAGAAAGTGTCAGACCCGAGGACCGGCTCAGAGAGAGAGGTGACGGAGTAGGAAGAAAGAAAGTGTCAGACCCGAGGACCGGCTCAGAGAGAGAGGTGACGGAGTAGGAAGAAAGAAAGTGTCAGACCCGAGGACCGGCTCAGAGAGAGAGAGGTGACGGAGTAGGAAGAAAGAAAGTGTCAGACACGAGGACCGGCTCAGAGAGAGAGCTGACGGAGTAGGAAGAAAGAAAGTGTCAGACCCGAGGACCGGCTCAGAGAGAGAGGTGACGGAGTAGGAAGAAAGAAAGTGTCAGACCCGAGGACCGGCTCAGAGAGAGAGAGGTGACGGAGTAGGAAGAAAGAAAGTGTCAGACACGAGGACCGGCTCAGAGAGAGAGCTGACGGAGTAGGAAGAAAGAAAGTGTCAGACCCGAGGACCGGCTCAGAGAGAGAGGTGACGGAGTAGGAAGAAAGAAAGTGTCAGACACGAGGACCGGCTCAGAGCGAGAGGTGACGGAGTAGGAAGAAAGAAAGTGTCAGACCCGAGGACCGGCTCAGAGAGAGAGAGCTGACGGAGTAGGAAGAAAGAAAGTGTCAGACACGAGGACCGGCTCAGAGAGAGAGAGCTGACGGAGTAGGAAGAAAGAAAGTGTCAGACACGAGGACCGGCTCAGAGAGAGAGCTGACGGAGTAGGAAGAAAGAAAGTGTCAGACACGAGGACCGGCTCAGAGAGAGAGCTGACGGAGTAGGAAGAAAGAAAGTGTCAGACCCGAGGACCGGCTCAGAGAGAGAGCTGACGGAGTAGGAAGAAAGAAAGTGTCAGACCCGAGGACCGGCTCAGAGAGAGGTGACGGAGTAGGAAGAAAGAAAGTGTCAGACCCGAGGACCGGCTCAGAGAGAGAGAGCTGACGGAGTAGGAAGAAAGAAAGTGTCAGACACGAGGACCGGCTCAGAGAGAGAGCTGACGGAGTAGGAAGAAAGAAAGTGTCAGACCGAGGACCGGCTCAGAGAGAGGTGACGGAGTAGGAAGAAAGAAAGTGTCAGACCCGAGGACCGGCTCAGAGAGAGAGAGCTGACGGAGTAGGAAGAAAGAAAGTGTCAGACACGAGGACCGGCTCAGAGAGAGAGCTGACGGAGTAGGAAGAAAGAAAGTGTCAGACCGAGGACCGGCTCAGAGAGAGAGGTGACGGAGTAGGAAGAAAGAAAGTGTCAGACACGAGGACCGGCTCAGAGAGAGAGAGGTGACGGAGTAGGAAGAAAGAAAGTGTCAGACACGAGGACCGGCTCAGAGAGAGCTGACGGAGTAGGAAGAAAGAAAGTGTCAGACCCGAGGACCGGCTCAGAGAGAGAGCTGACGGAGTAGGAAGAAAGAAAGTGTCAGACCCGAGGACCGGCTCAGAGAGAGAGGTGACGGAGTAGGAAGAAAGAAAGCGTCAGACCGAGGACCGGCTCAGAGAGAGAGCTGACGGAGTAGGAAGAAAGAAAGTGTCAGACCCGAGGACCGGCTCAGAGAGAGAGCTGACGGAGTAGGAAGAAAGAAAGTGTCAGACACGAGGACCGGCTCAGAGAGAGAGGTGACGGAGTAGGAAGAAAGAAAGTGTCAGACCCGAGGACCGGCTCAGAGAGAGAGGTGACGGAGTAGGAAGAAAGAAAGTGTCAGACACGAGGACCGGCTCAGAGAGAGAGAGGTGACGGAGTAGGAAGAAAGAAAGTGTCAGACACGAGGACCGGCTCAGAGAGAGAGAGGTGACGGAGTAGGAAGAAAGAAAGTGTCAGACACGAGGACCGGCTCAGAGAGAGAGGTGACGGAGTAGGAAGAAAGAAAGTGTCAGACCCGAGGACCGGCTCAGAGAGAGAGGTGACGGAGTAGGAAGAAAGAAAGTGTCAGACCCGAGGACCGGCTCAGAGAGAGAGGTGACGGAGTAGGAAGAAAGAAAGTGTCAGACCCGAGGACCGGCTCAGAGAGAGAGGTGACGGAGTAGGAAGAAAGAAAGTGTCAGACCCGAGGACCGGCTCAGAGAGAGAGAGCTGACGGAGTAGGAAGAAAGAAAGTGTCAGACACGAGGACCGGCTCAGAGAGAGCTGACGGAGTAGGAAGAAAGAAAGTGTCAGACCCGAGGACCGGCTCAGAGAGAGCTGACGGAGTAGGAAGAAAGAAAGTGTCAGACCCGAGGACCGGCTCAGAGAGAGGTGACGGAGTAGGAAGAAAGAAAGTGTCAGACACGAGGACCGGCTCAGAGAGAGAGGTGACGGAGTAGGAAGAAAGAAAGTGTCAGACACGAGGACCGGCTCAGAGAGAGAGATGACGGAGTAGGAAGAAAGAAAGTGTCAGACACGAGGACCGGCTCAGAGAGAGAGAGGTGACGGAGTAGGAAGAAAGAAGTGTCAGACACGAGGACCGGCTCAGAGAGAGAGGTGACGGAGTAGGAAGAAAGAAAGTGTCAGACACGAGGACCGGCTCAGAGAGAGAGAGGTGACGGAGTAGGAAGAAAGAAAGTGTCAGACCCGAGGACCGGCTCAGAGAGAGAGCTGACGGAGTAGGAAGAAAGAAAGTGTCAGACCCGAGGACCGGCTCAGAGAGAGAGAGGTGACGGAGTAGGAAGAAAGAAAGTGTCAGACACGAGGACCGGCTCAGAGAGAGAGAGGTGACGGAGTAGGAAGAAAGAAAGTGTCAGACCCGAGGACCGGCTCAGAGAGAGAGAGGTGACGGAGTAGGAAGAAAGAAAGTGTCAGACCCGAGGACCGGCTCAGAGAGAGAGAGGTGACGGAGTAGGAAGAAAGAAAGTGTCAGACCCGAGGACCGGCTCAGAGACAGCTGACGGAGTAGGAAGAAAGAAAGTGTCAGACCCGAGGACCGGCTCAGAGAGAGAGAGGTGACGGAGTAGGAAGAAAGAAAGTGTCAGACCCGAGGACCGGCTCAGAGAGAGAGAGGTGACGGAGTAGGAAGAAAGAAAGTGTCAGACCCGAGGACCGGCTCAGAGAGAGAGAGGTGACGGAGTAGGAAGAAAGAAAGTGTCAGACCCGAGGACCGGCTCAGAGAGAGAGGTGACGGAGTAGGAAGAAAGAAAGTGTCAGACCCGAGGACCGGCTCAGAGCGAGAGGTGACGGAGTAGGAAGAAAGAAAGTGTCAGACCCGAGGACCGGCTCAGAGAGAGAGAGGTGACGGAGTAGGAAGAAAGAAAGTGTCAGACCCGAGGACCGGCTCAGAGCGAGAGAGGTGACGGAGTAGGAAGAAAGAAAGTGTCAGACCCGAGGACCGGCTCAGAGAGAGAGAGGTGACGGAGTAGGAAGAAAGAAAGTGTCAGACCCGAGGACCGGCTCAGAGAGAGAGGTGACGGAGTAGGAAGAAAGAAAGTGTCAGACACGAGGACCGGCTCAGAGAGAGAGGTGACGGAGTAGGAAGAAAGAAAGTGTCAGACCCGAGGACCGGCTCAGAGAGCGAGAGGTGACGGAGTAGGAAGAAAGAAAGTGTCAGACCCGAGGACCGGCTCAGAGAGAGAGAGGTGACGGAGTAGGAAGAAAGAAAGTGTCAGACCCGAGGACCGGCTCAGAGAGAGAGGTGACGGAGTAGGAAGAAAGAAAGTGTCAGACCCGAGGACCGGCTCAGAGAGAGAGGTGACGGAGTAGGAAGAAAGAAAGTGTCAGACCCGAGGACCGGCTCAGAGAGAGAGGTGACGGAGCCGGTGGGTTAAAAGGCGAGCGTACCTTGCAGTCGCTGGATCTGTCTGGTGAAGCTCTCGGCCTGATGGGCGCTCGCCAGCCGCTCGTCTTCTAACAGACCTGAGATCAGAGAGGAAGAAACAGATGAGGATGAAGAGCAGGAAGCTCAGCGAGCTTCAGAGCGTTTGGTGTAAAGAGAGTTTCTGACCCTGCAGCTCGAGGAAACTCTCCTCGTGTCTCTGGGAAACCTCTCTGGTCTCGTCCAGCTCCAGCAGCAGCTGCAACACCTGAGCTCTCAGCTCCACCACCTCCTCCTCCTCTTCATCCTGCCCTCCTCCTCCTCGCTCTTCCTCCACCTTCTCCTCCTTCACCTCCTTCTCTTCGTCCTGCTGGCCCTTCTCTCCGTCTCCCAGCGTCTCCTCCTTCTCCTCCAGGGACTCCCTCTCTTTGGCCGTCAGAGTTTCTGCCAACGTGATCGGCCGCTCGGCCTTCAGCTCGCACAGCTCGTCTTCACACACAGAGGAGACAGAGAGCGCCACGTTAGCATCGTTAGCATCGTTAGCATCTCTTTGATTTAAAATAAATCAAAAATACAAAGCAGAGTCAGCAGGAACAAAACCTGCTGTCCTCACGTGGTGAACCCGTTTTTATTGTTTCACATCAGGATGGAAATGTGAAAAGTCTTCCTGAAGAGTTGTGCTTTCATTCTGCAGAGTGCACGCTAATGTGTTAGCACAAACGCTACCATTATTGAACATGAAGGACCGTAAATCTCCCGGCCCTTTACTTTCTGTCTCTCTCTGCTGGAGTGTTTATCTGTGAATATCATCAACTGATCTAACGATGTGCAGCACTTTTAAACATTTACATTTGTATTCATGATCTGAGCAGCTTATAGCAACTAAAGAGGTTTTATAAAAACCAGACCAGGCTTCTGATAAAAGCTTTATGCTAATAAAGTGCTAACTTATTAGCACGGCCCACACAAACACTCTGGATGTACTGCAGTTTACTATCAATAAACACGAGACCAAACTGATGAAACACATTCACACACATTTCATGACTGAATAAATCCTCTGAATGATAAATAATCATTATGATCTTTTAGCAGAGAAGAAGAAGAAGAAGAAGAAGAAGAAGAAGAAGAGTCTGTCGGTCTGTTGAAGACCAGAGGAAACTGCTCTGCCTCCATCTGGTGGTGATGAAGGACAAACACAGATTAAACCTTCATGTGTGCACAGAGACAGATATATATATAAAATACACATATACTGTGTACATGTACACATCCTGTATTTAGCTCATTACTTAATTAATGTGCAATATTCAGGTTTATTCTGAATTATAACGCTGCAGTTTAAGGATTTAAATCCTCATTATTATTAGTATTTATTCATCACATGTTTTCACACTCTGTTGT